GACACACGCGCTCGACCCAACTGTCCGTCTCTATCTCTGTCTGCAATTCAGCTACATTGTTGCCGTCACTTCTTGGCGGTCTTATATACAAGAATACCGAAAATCTAGTAAACACTCGAGGCTTCATGAAGGAACATGAATTTTCTAGAAGCTCATGACGTGTTATTAGCGTCACGTGACTTCCGCTGTCGTAACAATATGTTGTTGGTGGTGGTGTTTAGTGCAAAACTACACAATGGCCTATTTGTGCTTACCACGAGGAATCAAATCTTGCATTTTAGCACCTTAGTCTGAAAAGTTACCGCTGACCCACCAGGGAACTGAATATATATACGTACATAGCATTATTGTGCCCCCGCTGGCTCAGCGGTAAGTCTGAAGACTTATCACTCTAAAAATAGGGGCTCGATACCAACGGTGAGAAGAGCATGAATGACATATCCGTGTGTGTTGCTTAACTTTAACAAAAGTGTTGAAATGTAGCTGAGGTTACCTTTTTAAATTATAGAATAACACATGTATATATTATAGAAATCTACTTTACAGAGAGTAATGGAGGTTTTGAAATCTTGGGAATAACAAATGTTTGTTTCACAGTAACTGATTAGAAATAAAATTCGTGGTAATGGTGTCATGCACAGCTTCACAGAATGGAAGCTGTTGTTTCGATTTACGTCATCATTCTCGCCTACGTATACTACAAGATCCGGACAACGCACAAACTTGAGAGTTAAGTTCCTACACATAAGGTAGTCTAGGGATTATTTTGCAAATTAAAGTGTATGTCTCTCATTCTTGTTCAGTGGGAGTATCAATTTATTATAATTAATTAGTTTTCTCGTTAAGAAGATACTTGCAGTTATTATTTTTTTGATTACAGGTATTGTCGATAACACTTGATCGCGTATGATTACTAGATTAGGACACATCTTTCTTCCTTGCTTTTCTGAGGAAAATGGCGCTCGTGAATAACGAAGCTGTAGAAGTAAAGAAATTAAATTATGGTAGAGTGATACTGACTTTAGAAAATTGTATATTGCCACCAAATAAACATTCTCCCACACCTTCTATGCTGGATGGTCTTGATCGTGAAACTGAACAAGATTTACGAATTTTGGGATGTGATCTGATTCAAACATCAGGATTTCTTTTGCGATTACCTCAGGTATGTTAAGCCTAACACAAGTCTCACTAAGACTTTCTCTTAGTGACTTAGTTTTACCACTACTAGCACTAGTAGTAGTATACTTCATAGTATTAATACTAGTATTGAAGTGAAACATCATTACATTTACCGTCCATACACTAAAATATATATTTATATTATCAAAGTTAATAGAACTAATAATAATATCGTTAGTACGCTACTGGAGTTTGCACGATTATAAATGTGTGTTAATCATATTCATTATGCACACATTTCAGTTTCATGTACAGTCTTAAATATTTAGTAGTAGGGGTTTCAGTGATTTTTAAATAATGAAAAAAAAATCACACACCATTGGATTCTACAGTCGGAAATTAGATTTACACTGCAAGTTCAATTATTTAGTTCATAATTAATGAAAAACAATTAAAAATCATATCTTTTAATCAACCCTTTGCTCCATGCTACCTTTCTGTTTGAACAATGTTAACAAAATGTTTGATTTATCACTTTTCCTGGTAACCTGATACTGCATGACATCTATGTCAAGACAAGATAAAAAAGTAGTCCCCATAATTCCATCCATTTCAAACTCATATACGTGTATTGTTATATGGATAAATGAAATGAAAATTGTCGATAATCATATTGTTACGTCTCTGTATGTTTGTTTGTTAATTCTTCTAAGATACAAG